TTATATATATATTAAATTAGTCCTCTACATATCAGTGGAGAAGAGCTTCACTAAAAAAAAGAAAAAAGTAACATTCATATCGCATTGAATATTTTACTGCCAATGTATAATCAAAACAATCATTTCCATGTGAAAACAAAAAAAGTGCAGTTGTTCAAAAACGTCTGAAAAAGTATTGTGCATAACAGCACCTACTTTAGGTTTGTACAAGGACCTTCAGAAAAGCAAGACATTTTCTGCCTCACTGATGTATTTCAATGAATTTCCCATGACCTTCTATTCTAGTAGTTCAGGGGCACTCAACAACCACCTCACCCCCAATTGCCAAAATCTAATTCACCTAGTTTTTCCAATTATGATTTCAACACCAAGATGATTGACATATGTTTAACCATTCAGAACATGAGTTCATCCATTAGGCAAGATAAATTCATTTGATTGGCAATTTTCATTGTTGAATGAATACCGTGTGCTTTAAGGACACCTGGAACCCATTTATAACATTTCTTAATATTCCATCACAATAACTTTACTAACATATATATATATATATATATAAAAAAAAACGTGTATATCTCCAGAGTTAACCCCTTTCCCCCCTCCCTCTCTGTACACATATACACACTTACTTGTATAAACTTTTAGTACAAACCCCACACATACACATACATCTGATCAACCTCAGCATCTCTAACTGTAACTGCTTATCTGCCGTGTCCCAGTCTCTCGTAAGTCACTTCGTATTGTCTCGTATTGTCTTGTATTGTCTCTTGTCTGTCTGTCTTTTTGCTTTGTCATCATTGTCGGATCTTGTGGCACTATTTTGCCTCCTGTATGCTTGTTATTTGTTTTATTTTGTTTTATGTTGTATTTCGGGTTTTTGTATGTTATAAATGAGCCCCCCCATCTACCTGGGAAAAAAAAAAGTGAATGTAAACATTTATTCTTTTTTTATGTTGTAATTAAACATAAAGTTGTCCTCCGAAGAGGTGGTGGGCAAAAAAAACAAACCAAAAGAATACCATGAAGCCAGGGCAGGGAGGCTTGGCAGCCCGAACTGCATCTTTCGAGAGAGAGAGAACTTGCAACAAGCTACGGAACCACATTCAAGCAAATACCCCAGGGGAGCCCAAGGGGGGTACAATGAGAACCCCACAAGGACGGATCTAAGGATGTCAACGAACGCAAATGGAAGTATGATCACGAGATGCATCTGCGGCAAGGCCTGTAAGAATGAGCGCAGTCTTAAAATACCTCAGACCAAGATGAAGTGCTTGGTGCGGGTGCCTACAGTGCAGCACATAGGGTCTGACCCTGGTGAGATGCAGGAGTAGCCTGGCCCTGAATCACCCCACAGAGCCCAGCGCCCCCAAGCATATTAAGCTCTGTCATCGGGCCAAGTAGTCCAAAAGTTATGAGTGAAATGGCCCCCAGCCACATCCCCCAGCCAGAGTGGCACTAATTCGGGGAGGATGTGGACATGTGGAAGGGGGATGTGGACAGCCTCCCTCAAGCCATGTCTGCAGTTATTGTGAGTTATAGAGCAGAGTGATTGGAGATGGAGGAGTCCGGCAAAACGCCCTACATTGTGAACTGTAGAGCGGGTAAGATTCATCAGCTGCGACAAAAACTCGGAGCCCTCACAAAACAGTACAAGAATGCAGATGAAGAGGAGAAACCGACACTTGCTGAGCTCCGGAACACAGTAAGGAGGAAGGTCAGGACCCTGCAGAGAGCAGTGTGGCAGAGGAGAAGGGGCAGGGAGAGAGCCAGGAGAGAGCTACTTTTATAGCCAACCCCAAGGAAGATGCTTGGGAGCAAGAGCACTGGACACCTGACAAGTTCCAAGGAGGAAGTAGATCAGTTCCTCTACCCCACCCAACATGATCCTTTGACAGACCAGGGTTTGGAACAGCAGAGAGCCTTCATTGATCAACCAGGGGTGTAAGCAGTCCCAGGACCAAGTGAAGGTCCTTACAAAGTGTACAAAGTCCAGAGTTACTCCAACTTCCCCGGAAGCTACTGTGAACAATCTGGCATAGTATATATCTATCTTGCTGCTTAGTGTCGAAGGCAGGATCTTCTTCAGCATCCTGTCCCACCGGCTGATAAACTTCCTGCTCAAGAACAACTACGTTGATACCTCAGTGCAACAGGGTGGAACTCCAGGGATGCCAGGGTACCTCGTACACACAGGAATAGTCACTCTGCTTATCAGGGAGGCACGTGAGGGGAAAAGAGATTTGGTTGTGCTGTGGCTAGACCTGGCCAATATATACAAGCCTATACCACACAAATTGGTTGAGTCAGCACTTATTCGGCACCAAGTTCCCAGTAAAATCAATGAGCTCATCTTTCATTATTATAACAGCTTCAGACACCGATCGGAGAAGGGCATTATCACGGGGTGCACTATATCAGTCATCCTCCTTGCCTTAGCCATAAGCATGGTAGTAAAAGCTGCAGAGATGAGTGCAGAGGCCCATCAACTAAGTCCGGTGTGTGACAGCCCCCCTTCAGAGCCTATATGGATGACCTCACAGTCACTACATCCTCTGTACCAGGGAGCATATGGTTACTCCAAGGGCTGGGGAGACTCATTAAGTGGCAGTGGTGGCATAATGGTTAGGGAAGCGCACTCGTAATCGGAAGATTGCAGGTTCAAATCCCCAACCAACAAAACACCACTGAGGTACCCTGAGCAACGTACCACCCCCAAGCACTGCTCCCCGGGTGCTGAATTAGCTGCCCCCTGCTATGTCACGAAAGTCACATATGGGTTAAATGCAGAGGACACATTTCGTTGTTGTGCACTGGGTGCTGTGGTGTGTCAACAATCACAAAAAAAAGTAGGAGAATTTTTTGACCACAGCCTCAGAAATGTGGCAGCCATCTAGACATCCACCAAGGACATCCAGGAAGAGATGAGAGCAGTAATGGATGAGGAAAGAACCAGCAGGATGGCAGGAATGAGGCAGCAGGGAGTTTGGATGAGATGGGAAAGTAAGATGGGAAATGAAGGCTTACTTGGATGGACATCTGGCAAGCAGAGCTCCAGTGCATTAAATTCCTAATCCAAGCTGTATATGACATCTTACACAGCCCTGCAAACCTGTGGGACAAGGCTGATACACCTCTGCTCTGGGAGAGGGACACTCGAACACATTCTGAGCAGCTGTCCGAAGGCCCCAGGGGAGGGTTGTTACTGGTGGCCCCATGACCAGGTGCTGAAGGCAGTTGCTGAGAGTGTCTCCTCAGCCGCAAGAAGAAGCAGACCCACTGTCCCCCAAAGAAGCAGATAACATTTGTCAAGGCAGAAGAGCAGCTGAAACGACAACCTAGAGCCGCTGCAGGTCTACTTTCTACTGCACAGAATTGGCAGAAAATAGTTGATCTAACCAAGCAACTTACGGTTCCGGCACATATCGTGGCAACATCACAGCGGCCAGACATTGTCATTCTCTCAGAGGCTCCAAAGCAGCTTGCCCTGATAGAACTGACTGTGCTCTGGGAAGATTGTATAGAGAAGGCCTTTGAGAGGAACCTGGCCAAGTACCAGGGGCTTCAGGAGGAATGACGGAGACAGGTGTGGCGAAAAATGAAAAACAAGCACAAATTGAATAGAATGTGAACTGAGATCTATTTTCAATAAATCTCGTACAAAATATACCTTTTTTGTCACAGGTTGTACTCCTATAGCCCACTGATAGCAAGGTTTGTTGCTGGGCTTTTTATCCGACTGCCTAGCTGCTTGTTCCCAGGGACGGGTTAGACATTGCTGGTGTTTGTGACTTTCTCTAAGTTATACTGGTTGGCAATGCTTCAGGCGGTGAAATAAGTCTGTAGTAATTCCAGTTTTAGCTGGCCAAGTATTCCGCACAGTTTACAACAGGCCTACACAGCGCCAGTCTGTTACGTGTCGGGCTTTAAATAGCCACAGTACTTCCACACCACCGCCATCTTTTTACCTTGTTTATCCACAATATCTCCCTTTTAAAAGATGCTTTGGCTGCTGAGCTGTTGCCTTTCTCACAGACACTTGAAGTTTCCTTGGAGGGAGCGCTCATCTCTTCCATGATTCACATGCATCAAGGATTAAGGACACCACTACTGAAATATCAATTATTTCGACCTGAATGTTTCACTTTGATTGTGATTTTAATGTTAAAATATCATGTTGTTCATGTTACTTTTAATTTAAATGATAAAATTTGCCCCATGCCTCTGTATGGTATAAATGGCTTTGGAAAATGGATGGATGGATGGATGATAACATTTGCCACTAGCCTCCCTTAAGTTGGGCCAGGATCAGGCTGGGATCATATATTGAAATCAGAAGAAAAAAAGGAAAAATAAAATCAGTGGTATTGCCCATTAATGTGTGTTACAAATCAGTAGCATGCAGCGAGCTCTGCTTACTCAACCAAACATGCTGTGTATTTGTTGGGCAAAGGTTGTCCGTTCATGAAAGACTTTTACATGATTATATTCATAACTGTGATGTGATAAACTGATATGTACCATCAAGCAATATTCCCTATCGGCAGTTTATTGAAGCTCTTCATTCTCTTATGGTTTAAATCTTAAATGACGATAAGTGCCTACTGACAGCTTCACGAAGGGATTTCCAAAAGGGAGACCTTTTGTAGTTGTAGAGTCTCTGCTTTTTGCAGATGATGTGGTTCTGTTGGCTTCATTGGACCGTGACCTTCGGCTCTCACTGGGACAGTTCGCAGCTAAGTGTGAAGCGGCTGGGATGAGAATCAGCACCTCCAATCCGAGACCATGGTCCTCAGCTGGAAAAGGGCGGAGTGCTCTCTCCAGGTCGGGGAGGGAGTCTTTCCCCAAGTGGAGGAGTTTAAGTATCTCGGGGTCTTGTTCACGAGTGAGGGAAGGATGGAGCGGGAGATCGACAGGTGGATCGGTGCGGCGTCAGCAGTGATGCAGGCGCTGCATCGGTCTGTCGTGGTGAAGAAGGAGCTGAGCCAAAATCCCATGAGTTTTCCAAAACTTTCAGATTTTATTTTCCATACCTTTTCCGGAAAATGTGATTTCTTAATTTTATGATTTTATGTATGAACCCTGCTTTAAGTGATAGTTACAAATATTACATTGTTTCTGACACCATCCGTAAACCCAAAGACTGAACATAAAAATGACTTGCAATCACTGAATTTTGCCGCTTGTATATACAGACTTTCATATATGAAGCAATATTCTCAATAGATTATTCAGACATTTACATAAATCATGGTGAATGCAGGGCTCTTCACTGCCCTGCCCTAGCAGTGCTATGTGAACAGCAGAGAAGCATATGAATAATGGTCATGACCTTGATCATCAATCAAATGCTGTACATATATATGCTATATACACAAAAGTTAAGAGCTGACAACTAAATTGGTGTAAATGTGTGAAATGTAATCAGTGAAGCAGGATGAAGCACTGCACCTCCATTAACAAATGGAGCTAAAAAATAAGGCATAAGTCAAGCAACTGCACTTAATCTCAACCCTTTTCTCAGAAAGTGTTTGAAAATGAGTGATTTAACTCCAAAACAGTCTAAAGAATTCATTCTAATTAAGGCATCAAGTGAATATAATCATTTACTGCAATATAAAAATCCCAGCTTTCCAAAAGTAATACAGACAAACTTATTTCATGTAGAATGCATTAGGAAGGCGGCAAACAGCACCTCCGTGGCTCCAAGATGCAGCCATTTGAATGTTTCCCTAAGACTGGTGCTTGTGTGTGAAGTCATTCGGTGGCCTTGCACTTGGGGTAGACCAAAGCCTTTTGTTCTGTCCTCTGTCCAGCGATGGCAGTCACAGTGCTAATGAGCTGGCCCTTCTACTACATTTATCGTGCAATGGATAAATCTGTCCAACATAAAAGAGATACCACACCCAGGTAATGTATACAGCTCCTCAAATAAAAACGTTGTGCGTGTTTTGCATTTCCTACAGGGAAATACCTCTGGAAAAATATCCTTGTTACTCAGACATAGGATTATAACAAGTTCAAGCACACATAAAACACATTCCCGCTAAGATTGTTGTTCCCACAATCCTTTTCAGTGCTGTGTCCATTTGATGCTCTTCAGGTCAATTCCTTCCTGCACCATTTCCCACAGGGGGCTGTATAGGGGGAAGGAAAAAAAAAGTTTAATGGACCTTATAGATTTCCAGAAAAGCTATTTGTCGAAAGATTTATGTGCAAGCAACGGAATTACAGAAATCAAGTAAAATTTGAGGTTTACATAGTGACCTCTGGAATACAGTATAAACTAACAGGCGGACCGCGGTCCGGACCCAGAAGCTGTCTCATACGGACCTGGATTGACAGCCAAAACAGAAAGTTATGATTTAAAACCTGACAGGATGCTTCTATTTTAACTGGCGTAACTTTTATAGTCTTTTCGGTAGTGGTTTAGCACTAGAACTGCCGTTTCCCACGCCAATGAACATCAAACGCCTTTAACCGCAAAGCAAGACGTAGTTCGGCTTATGCAGGCCTTTCTTTGCGCTGAAGTGCCGTTAGTGTTAGTAGCAGCATCGAAGGTAACACCCGCAACCAAAATGCCGTAATGTTCCTAAGAGAGTGGTTGCTTAATAACAGCAGCGAAGGTAACACCCGCAACCAAAATGCCGTAATATTCCTTAGAGAGTGGCTGATCTGTCCTCAAATTGTAAAGCCGAAAAGTTTTCAAACACAGTATATATTATATAACATGTTGGATAAATAGACGCAATTTACTGGTGATTTGATGTTCGTTGAAGTTTCTGCTTTTTAACATATGTGTAAAGTAATGTTATCTGTTATATAAAACAACTTGGGTGAAACAAAAAATGTACATTTTCAGGGTTGCCAAATCTCAAGCATCTGACATGACACTCACGCTTTCAGACTCACGCTGGAAATCTTACGGCAAATCTATATTATTCCATTATAAAACCTAAAATTAGCTACGTCAAAGGTGTATTTACATGGTTAAATACAAAAGCAGACTATTTACAAGGTAAGAACTGTTACATATTTGTGCAGACTTTAAACATGCACAATGTTCACATTTTATTTATTTTCTCTTATTTTGAAATGCAGCCCTACTTTAATAAATGCACTAACCCGTGTATCTCTGAATGACAATAAAGTAACTATTCTATTCTAAATGAGAGAACATTATACACATCTACAGTCATGCATACATGTTCAGTTCTATGTCATGTGACAATAAATAATGTCAAAAAGTTTCTGAATTGTACTGAATTAATTAGATTTGACAGTCAGGTATTGATTACATGCAAGGTTGATAAAAGTAATAGGCTACTTAAATATATATCACACTAAATAGTTAGACATTATGAGCCTCCAGACCTTTGCTTCAAGAAATTTTCTCTAACTGGACCTCTTTAGATTTTAGTTGAATACCCCTGCTCTATTCTTTAATTAGCAAAAGTCTAAATGCACACGTGTATCAAAACATATCCCTCGTGACACAGTTTACACAAAGGCTCAGCTCTGACCTCATCTCCCTCAGACGCTTGACCTGCCGGATGCACTTCTCTGCTGTGTAGTCGACTTCCTCCTCCGTGGTAAATCTTCCAATACCAAACCTTAAGATACACAGAAGCATTATATTTTAAAAAAGCATTTCTTACTGGAATTTGAAATGTCACTGCAAAAAGACTACAAACTTCTTCCAACAATAATGTAACGGGGGAAAAAAACAGAAGAAAATACACGACAACATGTTCCCTAGATGGCCCCATCACCCCCCCATAATCATTACTCCTCCAGCACCCCCCAACCGCTACAATCAGTACTCCCTCCCCACTTCTCCAAAACATCTTTATTAAAAGCCCATCTTTGTGTGACTTGTCTTAATGTAATTAGGCTCACCAGCTCTGCATCTGTGGCTCTCTTCATCAACAGCCACTAAGTGAAATCAGCCATTGTCTTTGCTATCATTATGCAACATTGTTGCAATTTTGGTGTGATTTGTCTCAAAATGAAATAAGACCCAGATCATTACCTAATTCTCAAATTTGATAGATCCCCCCCCCAAAAAAAAACACTGGTCAAGTGTTCTTCTCATATAGAATTAAATTCCCCCATGATAAATTCCACCAACCGGGTCACACAGTTCAGGAATAACTTTGCACCCTACAGTTTGAGAACCAGTGACCTACATACACAATGTTCATGGAAAGTTCAATTAAATACTATTAGAGCTACTGTGTTCACAAGATTGAGTCCACTGGTAAAATCTTCCATTTCCGTCCTGTGTCACCTAGTGCTGCCGCTTTAGTTTTGGGGTGATTTGTCTAAAAATGAAATCAGGTGTAAATTTCCATCCATATAATGTAATGGGTTCAAGACTGACTTCAAAGTTCCGCTACTTACATATAAGGCACTCAAAGGTTAAGCACCTGCCTACCTGACAGAACAAATTTATGTTAAACCACATCCTTCAGGCAGGGTTCCTATATTGCGCAATGGTGTGCCAGTTCATGTTCTGGATGATGAATCCTGGTCTGTAAATCAACTCTAAACATATTACTTCAGTTTAGCCTACCCGCAACGTAACACACTAACTATGGCTGCTGGAGCTGCTGTACATGCCATTTTGGTCTACTGTGGTCTACTTGTCCATGAATGTGTCTATGCATGTTCTGACCACCAATGTTCTCTGCCTTCCTTCCCATGTTTTCATACAATTTGTCTCAATATTTACACAGTACTAGATCATCACCCATAGAATGTGTCTGCAAAGGCTGAGCAAGTTTAGAGAAATACTTAGCATTCTCATGCTGACAAGATCAAATGTCTAAGGCAGCCTTGTCTTTATGCAGGGCTGCATCAATTTCGGTGCGTGTTCTCTCAATATTCGATCACTCCCAACGAACATCTTCACCCAAAGTGTCTACAAAGATCTTAGAACATCCATCACATACTTTTTCACACTAACAAGAAAGTGTCTGTGGTAGAGAACTGATCCCAAAACCAGGAAATACAAACAAACATTACTGTCCATAATCAGACTAGAAAGCAAAACTAGTGGTAGTTGTGACTTTCAGAAGATGTTCCATAGCATGGTACAAACCTGATTGAAGAGTGTGCGAGATCCTCATCTGTGCCAATGGCTCTCAGCACGTAGGAGGGCTCCAGCGATGCAGAAGTACAGGCACTGCATGGATGCAAAGGTATATGAGCAACAACACCACCAAAAAAACACCACAAACAAAGTGTGTCGCTGCTACACTGCCATATGACCAACCTGCCAGAGGACAGGGCCACATCCTTCAAGGCCATCAGCAGACTCTCACCTTCCACGTAGGCAAAGGACAAATTTATGCATCCTGCAAAGGGCATGAAAAGCCATTAGCACTGTCTGCTACGGCTTAAGGTGCGGCCACACTAGCGAGAATAAAAATTCTTTTGTCATTCGCTTCCATTCAGATTCTTCACTTCCGGTTGCAGAATGATTTCTGACAGAGTTGACCTTAATTGAACTTTGACCTGCAAATTTGCGTAGCTCAACCAATCAGGTCTGGTGTGGGTGAGCTTGACCTTTCAGCTTCACCAGCCATGGACCATGGAGCAACCAATTCTTTTTAACTGCTGATTACCAGAATATAAATGTATTAACAGGAGAGCATTCAAATGGGTCTCAAAAGGTAGAAAGCATATTACAGTGCATGATAGAACATTACTAATTAGCATGCTTCATATCTTGCTTACTGAGCTAGAAGGCTAATATTACATCATGCATTTATTCCACTGTTTGCTACTAATTTCACCAATACTGACTGGCAAGATACAAGGAAAAAAAAATAGTAGTTTTCAAATATATATTTTAAAGGCAAACTTATAAACATTACTCCATAACATCATTGCACCAACAATGTCTTAAAACAAAACGTCACTTCCACTTCTGTTCTGGGTTGTGAAGACGACGCATTTTTATCGCGCTAGTGTGATCGCACCTTTAAGATGGTGGCTCCCCAACCCGGGGCTGAGACTGTCTGTTAGAGACTGAATGAGACCGTTCTTACCTGGATATCTCTGGTCAGGATCTCCATTCACGACTACATCAGGCAGCTCTGACATGATTTTCTGAAGAAGACGCTTGGCCAGCATAGACACCCGACTGTGGTCATACTATGACAGGAGGGGAAAATAAACACAACACAGCATGTTCAGTAGCAGGAGGCGGAGCTTACGTTCTCATGCCGCTCTATGGTACGCCTATTCTACTCTACATGCTCCTTACAAACACCTAAATTGCTAACATGCATTACCTGCATTTCCTGTTGCGCAATTTCACATGCAGCTCCTAGTCCCACCGCCAGGGGGGTGGGGACGGTTCCGGAACGCAGGCCTCGCTCCTGTCCCCCACCAGACTGAATGGGCTCCAGCCGAACCCGGGGCCGTCGCCGCACGTACAGCGCCCCCACTCCTGTCGAGATGCAGGGACACATCACCACCACTACTCCAATGAACCCAGACATCAGCTTTACAAATGCCTACGATTGAGGAAAGAAGTCAGTGGTTTGAGTTATTTTCATACACTGTTGCTCTATACAAGGAAGCCGGGGATCGGGGCAAGTGTCCCTTCAGTAGATGCCTTGTGTGAAATCCTATACAATTGAAAGAACTGAAATGCCGCAACATCTCACCTTGTAAACATTTTAGAGTTTACTATTACCAATGTAAGTTACCCACAAACCAATATAGCCATACATCACTGGCTGAAATTTTACAAGCAAAGACACTGGGATATGAGGAATTAATGAATAATCTTGCTCTACTGTACGAGTTCAAAGTATATCATACATAGCTTGCCATTTAGATAAGATAAATCTTTATTGTCCTTGTCACCTGAACAACGAAATTTAAATGTTATTGACTCAATGTGAGGCATAAAAGTAATAAAAATATATACTTTAAAAAAAAATAAAAAAAGTTTTCAAATATGTATTTTAAAGGCAGACTTATTAACATTATCCCTTACTTAACATCACGGTTATTAACCTTATTAACTACTTTACTTGACATTGCCATGACTTCAACGTATTAAATTTCCCTCTAGCATCTGTAGTATTTGTGCACTTATGGTAATGCTTAATTACTCAAGTCTGTTAAGGTTTGCATTGCATTATTTTGATTTAACGTTGAATACACACAACTTGGCCAACCGTATGTGGACACCTATCCATCACATCTGTATATGCTTGCTGAACGTCCCATTGCAAAACCATGGGCACTAACAAAGCAATGACCTCTCCTTTGCTCTTTTAACAGTCTCCACTAATCTGGCAAGACTTCCCACTAGGTTTTGGAGTGTGGTTGTGGGAATTTGAGCCCATTGACCATTTGGTCGGACAATAATGTCATGTGAGAAGGCCTGGCTCACAGCCAGCATTCCAATTCCTCCCAGAGGGGCTCAATAGAAATGAGACCTGGACTCTAAGCAGGCCAGTCAAGTTCTTCCACACCAACCTGGTCAAACCATGTCTTTATGGACCTTGCTTTGTACACACTAGCACAGCTATGCTGGAACAGGGAAGGGCCTTTGCCAAACATATAATTGTCTAAAATGACTTTGAACACAAGAAATAACCATTCGGCCCATCAAGCTCATTTGGGGAGAACTTAACTAATAGCTCAGAGCTGTTAAAATCTTATCTAGCTCTGATTTAAAGGAACCCAGGGTTTTAGCTTCCGCTACACTAGCAGGAAGACTATTCCATACTCTAACTACACGCTGTGTAAAGAAGTGCTTCCTCAAATTCGTATTAAAATGTTCTCCCACTAATTTCCACGTATGGCCACGAGTTCTAGTATTTAAACTAATATTGAAATAGCCATTTGGCTGAACAGCATCCAGACCTGTTAGAATCTTATAGACCTGGATCATGTCCCCCTTTATTCTCTTTTGCTCAAGGCTAAACAGATTCAGCTCAGCTAACCTCTCCTCATAAGACATTCCTCTAAGACCAGGAATCATTCTTGTAGCCCTACACTGAACCCTTTCCAAAGCAGCAATGTCCTTTTTAAGGTATGTTAAATTCTAATACTGCCAGGTATCAGCCCAGTCGCTAATTAAATCAAGATCCTGTTGTAGTTTTGTCTGCTGATGACTTAAGATTACCCTTAACTGGAACCAAGAGCCCTGGACCAAACCATGAAAAGCAGCCCCAAACCATGTCCCATCCACCAAACTTTACAGCTGACACTGGCCCCTTTTCCACTCCACTAGTGCCAGTGCTAGCACTGGGGCTGGTGCTCGGCCAGTGCTGAAGTTGGGAACCAGCAAGAGCCTGCCTGCATTTCCACGGACTTGAGAGCCCAGTGGGAACCAGGTGACAACACTACGCCCACGTCACAAACCACGCCCACGTCACAAACCACGCCCACGTCACAAACCACACCCACCACACAAACCACACCCACTTTCCAACATTATTTTGCATTGCCTCGGTTACTCCGCCCACCTCTCAAGATGACACGGGTGCTTCATCCAGACCAGCAAAGGTTTGGTGTCGGTTCGGAGCCGATTTTGCAGCACCGGCGCCATTTTTTTTTTCTGTGGAAAATCGTGGCACTGGTTCCAAATTGGGGATCGGCACCGGAACGACACCGGCACCTTTGCAGTGGAAAAGGGGTAACAATGTACTCCTGGCACCCGCCTAAGTCCACCCGCCTAAGTCCACACGACACGTGGCGAACCACTCGCCGCATGTGAAGAATCCTCTTACGTCTTCACAGCACCAGCGGCAAACCGCCCGATGCTTGCAAAAGATGCCGGATGGGTGAATACAATGTCATGAAACAGTGCTTGCCATGAAAATAAATGTGATTGTAAAATGTTTTTCAGCTTGAAACTAAATTAGTTGCATTGCTGGTTTACAAAAAAAGAGCTCTCTTGCTGTTGGGTCTAAAAGTGCGTTTGTAAGTGTGTTTACTTAAGTTTTATTAGCTAAATATGCTTACCAAAACCAACCTGGTATCCCTGTCTCTGCATTTATACACCTCCAAGAAGATTTTTTCTGTATTAAGTTTCAATATGACTTTAAGGTGACGTTAAATAAATAATTAATTATTAGTTCCTCTTACATTTTGTTAAGTGGTTAAGCTCATCACAGACTGAAAATTATATCTGATTGGATGCTGCTTTGCTAGAGGTCAGAGAACTAGGTGAAAGTTCAATGGATCTGAACTTTAAGCAGCACGGCAAAGCAGAAAAAACGGGCGGTGCTTTTCGCCCGAGGCGGCGTCGCTCTCCACATTGACAAACCATGGTGCAAAAATTTTGCTGCTTGCTGTGCATTTCCACTACCCCACAGTCTAATAACAAGAGTAGCAGCCGACCAGGGCAGGTCTAACGGTCTCTGACATTCACAAAGCTCTGACCACTTAATTATACTTCTTACATGCATTAATTTGTATCACATTACTCAAGGAAGGAATTTTAATTTTAATTATTATTATTATTTTTTTTTAAACATTGTTGTTACCTTTAGGACCATATATCTTGTGACCGCTGATAGACATAAGGTCAATCTTCCAGTCTGTGACATTGATGGGTATCTTTCCAACCGCCTGCGCAGCATCTGTGTGGAAGAACACACTCCTCGATCGGCAGATTTCACCTGAAATTCGAAGACAAGCCAACGTTCAAGTAAGACGGAATCGCAAACGGTGCCATTTCTATGTAGAACTAGTAGCCAGAAATCAAGGTTAAATAGTGCAGGAAATAAAAAATACATATCTGTGCAAATTCAGCTAAAAGGGACCCACCGATTTCCTTCACTGGCTGTTTCACTCCAATCTCATTGTTCACAGTCATCACTGATACCAGACTTGTATCTGGTTGGATGGTTTCTTCAAGTTGCTGAGACATCAACACAGTCCACAGAATAACAAAAAAGAAAAACAAACTTGGTTTATTTTAAATTTAAAGGTTTTTCAGCCACTACATCCTACAAGACCATCAGTTTGTTTCTCGTAAAATGTGATATAAGAGGGATATTTAATAAAGTCATCTAAATTAGGGGTTCTCAAACTATGTTAAGCAGAGCCACGTTCCACTGGTAGTACCCAAGCTCCCTCTAGTGGTACGCGGAGGTATCTCCTTTTTTAATCAAAATTCACAAAATTTTGAGATCCACTGATTTCAATAATGCCCAGCAGAATCCATTGTTTATTCTTTAAAGTGATAAATCTGCACTGAAACCACTATTAAAAAGAACAGACATAAATTGAAATGACCTAAAATTTGTATTTTAGCATATCTTTTGTATAAATTTAAACAACTTTACTATAATGACAAGAATCCAGCAAATTAGTGCAAAAATAAGAGTTTACTTAGCATGTTGTATGCACATCCAAAATATAAAATATAAACTGCATATGACACACATAACAGGCAGGCTTTGTTTACTAAAACATCCATTAATTGGCCAAACTTCAAAATTCCAATAAATGCAGCTAAGTGGGATGGACTTGCCTCTATGGACTTCCATAGATGACACTCTGCTATACTTATACTTCAGTTGTACTGTAGTTTTGCGGAGAGTTAACTTGCCTTTAGGTCAATCAAGCCATTGCTTTGCACCGGAAGGTAAGTAATGTTAAAACCTTCTGCTTCTAGAATCCGACATGAGTCCAAAACACACTTGTGCTCAATCTGGGTGGTAATTATGTGTTTCTTCTTGGATCTATAAAACCGAGCAACTCCCTGAAAAAGAAAAGCAGCAAAAAAGTTCTACTCAAATATAAAGATTCCGCTATGATACATCGGCCCTGATAAACCTCCAGAGGACACTGCTGTTTATTACCAGCACTTACCTTGAGGGACATGTTGTTTGACTCCGTGGCACCACTGGTAAAAACAATCTCCCTGGGATCTGCCCCAATCAAATCTGCTACTTGCTGTGTCAACAGGGAATACATGCAACACAACAGAAACACAAACAAATTATTAACAAGCAATACATAATAAATAAAAACGACTGACTTTCAGTTTCTCGTTTCCTCTGATGCATGACTTGCAGATTTTTTGTATAAACACTAGTCAGGAAGATAATTATGGAGCCCATTATGTGACAGGGTCGGGAAATATTGTTGTGGAACACTTCTGCGTTCCCTCGTAATTGCTTTGGGTTCATTTACTTTTAAAAATAATATTTCTCAGCCCTTTATGGGCTCCTTAGATAATTTAAGGTTAGAAGGGAAAAAAACCTTTCTGGCTTTTTCCATGGCTCTCTCACTCTCCCACCCATAGGCATGAGTCCTGGAATGCGGGTTTCCATAATAGTTTACTTGATAAGGAAGCATGGCATCCAAAACTCGTGGGTCCTGTAATTAAATAATAATAAACATTATTATTGTTGTTGATGATGATAAACTATGATGCAATACCGTATTTATTAAGTTCAAATCCGTACAATTAACGGGAGACCCACCATTGGAGTTGTAGCTTGAAAATCCATGTAGAGAGGCCGGAGCTCATCTTTTTCTATGTATCTGCTTTTGATAATTTCTATTTAGCACGAAGAGAAACACAAACGTAAGTGGTAACTCCTCTGAAATATCAGACGGAGTATAACGCTGTTCTTAAACGTCATTGTATATGTTTGCGCTTAAACACTAACATGTGCAGGATGCTGAATATTTAGTGCAATAACAGGAATAGAATAAGACTAGCTGAATAGCTAAAGAATAACTGCGTCATATAGCAAAGGGATTGACTAAATACTCACCCTTCTGTCGATGGGCGGCACTGACAGCACTTTCTGTATACTTCCGACGATAGCATGCCGCCGCACTCCTCGATCCCCAAATACTCCTTATTACTGTCTTGCCAAACATTTTTACTGAACCACACAGCAGTGATGCTGACGAGGCTGCTCCCTAATAAACAGATATCAAACACGTTTAGTATGTGTGTGGATATCCCAGTCAGAAGAGACACTTGTGCAATGAAGCTGCCTAAAGTTACAACAGCAAGTACGTAAATTTTACAAAGTGAAATAATCCAGCGATCAGAGGATTGTCACAGCAGAGTGCGGTAACAACTGGGAAAATGGGACGGTGCAAAATAACAAGAACCTCGAACGCACCTCATAAGGGTTACACAAGTAGCATGGGATGACAGGCAGGAAGGAGAAGGGGAAGGCAGGAAGCGGCCGTGCACCGTGAACTACAACCCGGAAAGTGTTTCTGCAGAGTGTTTATAAGCGGTTTCTAGCGTGATCTTTATTCCTGCATTGCACGACACTCTCTCCCTTGTGTTTAAATATAGACAAACATAGACGGCAATGATAATTAATGATTTTAGACGGTCGAGTATTGTCATGTATTACAACGTACCTTGCGCATTTATACGCATCCCAATATTCATTTTAATCCAGAAAAAGCGCCCCAAATGTAAATGTAACGAAAACTTACCGGATTAATACTAATAAATTATAGATGAATTATATACACTGATAACGAAAATCTTTTGTGTTTGCAATTTGTGTAAACTGTTATGTCAATTTTAGTGGGAACTTTTATTATTGGCAGGAACAACAATAATAAAAAGTTTTTTTTTTAATACAAAATTGTCTAACACATCATATTTGCATGTGTAATGTAGACACACAGCACTGTCGCCTCACACCTCTGGGACCAGGGTTCGAGTCTTCGCCATAGCTCTACATGTGTGGATCGAGCTTGCATGCTCTCCCTGTGTTGTCGTGGGGTTTCCTCCAGGTACTCCGCGGTTTCCGCCCCCCCCAAAAAAAGCATACGGAGGTTAATTGCAGTTACCAAAATGGCAGTAGGTGTGCTGTTGTGAGTGATTGGTGTGTGACTGTGCCCTGTGATGGGTAGGTGTCCCATCCTGGGTTGTTCCCTGCCTTGTACCCACAACCTCCCGGAAATTCTCAGAACCCCCCCGCGACCCTCAGTAGAATAAGCGGTTACAGGACATGGATGGATGGATGTGACTTTTTTACCTCCTGTTTCATGAGTTCATGAACATTGAAGTAGGCCCCTGAAATGAGGAATTTCAGAGAAAAGTAAATTAGTGCATTTTAACATATTTTCAGATATGAAATAAGCCAAATGTATGAATGTATGCTGCCTAAGCATTTCCAAAGAAGAACAGGAAACAGCCTGCAGCAGACGCCAGGCCTTCGCAGGACAGACACTCACACCGTGCAAGGTTTAGGGACAACTGTCCTTTTAAACCACATGGCGCTTGCCTTTTTTGGTGTGAGGAGAATCTGTGACGGAAACATATGTGGACGCAGGGAGAACAAGCAAATGGCACTTACAGAATCGGTGTGAGCCTACATCACACTGAGTTTCAGGTTAATGTTTATCAAACATCGCCGTTTGACTTGTGCAAAGAATATTAAGTAATTCTCAGAAACTGCAGTCTGTAACAGATCAGGTGACTAACAAGCCCTGTGCCACAAATATTAAGTGAGAGAGGACGTGTCCAAGTTAAAATGTAACCACATTATCAAGACATTGGGTTAAACGTGAGGGTTTCAGGAGGAAATGACATGGTTTATCAAGGTAAGACGGCACAGAAAAGGTAAGTAACCCTTCTGTAAGGAGATTTGCTATGTATGCTCAGTGTCTTATTTTAGCCACTACTTATATGTAAAATGTATTTTTTGTTTTGTAGATAAAAATGTAAGTGACCCCTAGTAGTGATACTTTTAGGCACCAAGCTTAATATGTGGATTTTTTCATTTTGATGATAATTGTTAAAAGCCGTGCATACCTACCATATTTTAAAGCGGAAGCTGTAGCACAAATTAGTCAGTTCCTGACTATAGCTTAAGGTGGATTTGGCTTTTTGCTCCAACTGAAGATATGATTATTAAACATTATCAGCATTAGTCTAAAAAAATCATAGACCTATCTTTTTTAATCTTGCGCACATAATGTAATCATCTTCTTTCGCCGGGAAGTTAGCCTCATACACTGTAAGAAAAAACAATAGCAATTTGTACCTCTGCTTGTCACTGGGGCTGTACCTTCAATTGTCTGCCAGTTGTACCCTTAGCTGTAGGTAAAAGTACCTTTTAAGCTACAGACATGGACTACAGGGTACGTTAGTGTTATTTGTACCTTGGGGATGCTCCTTAGAGTCCATTTCTCTACCTTAAATTAGACTGAAAGGTATGTTTACCTACAGCTAGGGTACAACTGGCAGACCCTACACTGGGGCACAGTCCCAGTAACAAGCAAAGATACAGTTTGCCACTCTTTTTTTTTCTGACAGTGTATTCATGTTTTAACAATAGCAAGTCAGGAGATTTTTTTAAATGACACATTCTTGATGTCTAGTACACAGACAACGATGTACACCAATCATTGTGCTATTCAAGTCCTTTCACTGTTTGTGTTTAATCTTGTTAATAACTATGAAATTAGACTATTTCAGCTGTAACTAGATATTGGTTCAGCATTTAGAGTTAATGGCAACTCTTGCACACCCCGTGCATTTCCAGATATCTTTACGGCGAAGTTTTAATTAATTTTTGAGCGTCGCCATGTGCACCTCACATTCACTTACAGTCAGGCTCCCTGAATGTCCCTTCATAGTGTAATAATTCTTATAATAACTCTAAAACAACATGAAACAGAGATGTCTGTGCTTTGAACAGTTGACTGTGGGGGACAATGCACACCACTTGTATTTCCAGATTATATATTTCCATATATAATTATTACTAAACACAATCTATACATTCAGTGTGGTTTGGAATAAATAAACAAGTTAATAACTCTAAAACCAAAGACATGTCAAGTATAATGTGCTGTAAGCAGTTCAGTATGGGATAGTGCACAACATTAAATGGTCATTTATTGCACAATGAGCAGGGCTGGAGATCATTGCTTTAAAGTTTTATTAATTTCCTGTGTGCACAAGATTAAAAAAAAAAAAAATTTCAGGACTTTGTGGCCCCGCAGCATATCATAAGGTGTGTTCGTATATATTTTTATGACGTATCACTTTTTTATTTAAACAGGTCAAGGACAGTACCTTTCTCCATCTCTTGGACATTTGAAGATCCTCTAATTCTACCTTACGTCATTGTTAGCTGAGCAATGCACAAGTGGAAATCAGTAAACCCACACCGTCTCCGTCAGCTTTTTTTGCGCTGTGATCTCAACAGACTATGCCGCTTCATTGGCCTCTCAGTGTGCAAGGGGGTCTGTCATCCAAGTATAACCCAAAACAGGAAGTATAGAGCTGATTCTCAGACAAATCAGATATCCTTTCCTCAGATTAATCATTTATTTAAATGTAATGAATATAGTTATAAAGTCAATGGGTATGAAGGAAGAAGCAACAGTCCGGTGCTGGGGTTTGACAGCAACCTGTTGCCCTCAAACTCGCCCCCTGAGGACCGGTGGAGTGCCGTCACCTGCCTGCAGAGCAGGGGAATGCTCTTCGGTGTGTTTGATGGGCATGGAGGCTATGCGTGTGCGCAGGCTGTCAGCGAGCGACTTTTCTATTACATAGCTGTGTCTCTGCTTCCACTGAAGACGCTGGTGGACATTGAAGATGCGGTGGAAAAAGACCGGCCGGTCATTCCAATCCTGCAGTGGCACAAGCATCCCAGTGACCATCCCAGCATCGGCAGCAATGCCGGAAAGCGCTACTTCAGCAGCCTACGATCATACTGGCAGGAGCTGATCGACCTTGGCGAGGATGAGGACAGAGATATCCAGGATGCCCTGGTCAAGGCCTTCAGGAGGCTGGACAATGACATCTCCCTGGAAGCACAGGCAGACTTTGGGGAAGACTTTTCATGTTATGCTCCCCTCAGGGTGGCGCTCTCTGGTTGCACAGCATGCATAGCACACTTGGACGGCACCCATCTGCATGTAGCGAACCTCGGTGACAGCCGGGCTATGATTGGCGTCCAGGAAAACAATGGTATGTGGTCAGCTTTGACCATCAGCAATGACCACAACGCCAAGAACCCGATGGAGGTGCGGAGGCTGCACTCTGAGCACCCACGGTCCGAGAAGGCGACTGTGGTCAGGCACGACCGATTGCTGGGACTCCTCACCCCATTCCGGGCCTTTGGGAACATCAAGTTTAAATGGAGCAGCGAGCTCCTTATGCACGTATGTGAGAGGCGTCAAGAGATGCTGTCAGGGAACGACATTGCCAGCATGTTCCCTCCTGAGGCTCACACGCCACCATACCTCACCGCCGAGCCAGAGGTCACGTACCACAGGGTCCGACCCCAGGACAAATTTCTAGTCCTTGCAACAGATGGATTATGGGAGCTGATGCACCGGCAGAATGTGGTACAGGTGCTTGGGGAGCACCTGACTGGAATCCACTGGCAGAAGCCCGTCTCGGGACTGTCACTGACACTGGGCCAGATGCAGACCTTGCTCGCGGAGCGCAAAACGCGGGCCCTCTCTGCTCTCGAAGACGCTAACTCGGCCACCCATCTACTCCGCCACGCTCTGGGGGGCGACGGCTTCGGTACCGTGGATACAGAGTATCTGTTCAGGATGCTAAACCTACCACAAGACCTTGTGAGAATGTATAGGGATGACATTACAGTCACAGTGATACATCTAAACCAGCCAGTGCTTGAAGGCAACTGCAATGGAAGCAAAACAATTGTGAATTTAATCTGAAATTAATTTGCCATTCCTGATTTACTGGAACTGGATTTACACCGCTACCTTAGACTCCTTCAAAGTTACGCCACCAAAACACACTAAGTAAAGCAAACAATGACAAGAAATATTTTTAAAAGTACATTTTTTATAATGGACACTGTTTGCTATCTTCAGATTGAATGCAGAACAAACCCTCAAAAGCTGCAAAATTAATGTATAAACATTTCCCACATGGACACCTTCTCAATATAAGCAGTGTTAAAATCTAAGCCAGTTCAACCCAACAGAAGACAAATGAGTGGGTACAATTCAAAGTAGCTATTAAATTAACCCTAACACTTTTCTGATTATGGATTACTCAGCAAATTAAGGAAAGATCAAGAGTAGGCTTTTCAAACTGACTGAAGGACAGGGAGCAGAGGAATCAGAGCAGGACAGATGTGGAATGGGCCAGTTTGGAGTAGCACTTTGTTTCCATAAAATTATTTACATTTCACACTGTTAGGCTGGGTTCTTACGGTGTTTCAAATTGCACAGCTCTTGCTCCAGCTCATTCCACTTGGATTCCAAGCTGACAAGGCGCTTGGATATATCTAACCTTGCATGTCTCACTTTTTTTTTTAAGCATATAATGAGAATGAAAAACTACATTGCCTGATTTTTTTTCCCCAATGATGTATTTTCTTTGAAAGCTGTTTTTTTTTTTTAAAAAAAACCATGGAAAAATAAGTACACACTAAGCCATTTACTAAAGCATATGGTGTGCCACCTTTGTACATTTCACTAATACAGAATACACTTTAATTCCTGATTCCCCATCAGGAAAAAGCATTCACAATTCCACTCACAAACAAATTGTGTAATGTATTATGTTCAATTAAATAAAAGCAACTACGCTGAACACAAGGATAAACTTTATTTGAAATAAATTTTAATCAAGTTCTTTACAAAAATCAAACCTTGATTACAAAAGATTTAGAAATACCAAGTGGTTTTTGAATGAGCACAAATAAATCGTCACTAAAGATTCGAGCTCATAGAGCTTAAACATTGAATATTCAGATGGACAACAAATTACAATGTTCTCGCTCCTCTTTTTTTTTTTTTATTTATTGAGCACAAGTTGTGAGGGGGGGCGGGGAGAAGAGGGGGGGAAATGCCAAAGCTGAAAAGCACAAGACAACTGTATGTACAACAAATTTACAAGCAATGTCAAAACTGTCAATGGCAAGAACAGACGAGGAATACTTAAAACTACTGTGCCTTTATTATACAAGTCAAAACCTCACAATGTTTATCTTTGATGTAGTTGCAAATTAAGCCTGGCTTCTGCCAAAAATTAGAAAATCTCCACAAAACAGGACACAGGCTGAGTGGGAAAGGAAGGCCAAAATTCTCCTGTTAGTAAAAACTATGGAGAAAAATTGCCGTTATTTGCTACTCAGAACTTGAAAGCTGATCCAAGCTCAGTAAAAGCCCAACTGTCGAAAAAAGGATGGGGGTATATTTATATACAGTACAAACAATGCCTCACTTTGCCAAATCATCGCCGAGCCGGCATCAGGAGCTGAGTAGCCACCACAGAGTCTGGGAAGAGATTGTGGTAGGTTGGCAGAGGAACATAGGCTGCCGTTATCATATTTCCTGTGAAAGGAATGAAAGTAAATCAGATCAACCAATAGCATTACTGCAGTCAACATTAAACATTCATTGACAGCACAAACTGGAACATACCTGCAAACCATCTGCCGTGTAAAGCATTCACAGCCGCCATGGCAGCGGGGATGGTGGGGCATTTCACATACACATTACCCTGAAAAACAGGAAACTCTAAGTATACAACACACACAAGCGGCAGCGGGGTGTATCACTGAAGGTTAACTGGACGCTTACTTGAGATGAATTCTTGTCGACGTAAACATGTACAACCCCACCATGTTTGTTGCATTCTTCGATGACATCATCTTGAATTTCAATGTCCCAGCCTGGTTCATCTTCACTGTAAAGCAAGGTGATCAAGCTCCAACTTCCACACACATTTCCAATATACACACTAACTACCCAATCAATGCAGGGCTAAGTTACCACACATCACAACAAAGGAGGGTTGTTTCACTTGGCTTAAATTACCATTGGTTAATATTAATAAATAATCTGAAATAGTGCTGTCCCAAACAATTTTTTTTAAATGATTAATCTAGCGATTTTTCCCCCCGATTATTCGACTAATCCAACTAATTTTTCACTTGATCTGATGAAAAAAATTGCTTATATTTAAGTTAGTCATTTAATACAATTCACCCCCTCCCCCACATTCACAAATCTGAATTAACATTTCAATTTATTAAAACATTTTAAACATTAGAGCATTATGAACAAAAAAGGCAAATCTTAAGAGATTCATTAGGATTTATGTTAGACTGAAGTTAATCACTGCAATAGGTTTTACTTATTTCAGTACACAAATTGGACTTTAATGTTGAAATAGATAACTAGAGAAACATGTTAACACTAGCAAAGGTAGCTTATAGTTAAGCTTACTTCAGTGAGAAAGGAACGATTTAGGGCACAGTGTGTAAGTACATGACAGAATAAGTAAAAATATAAAATGGCTGAAACAGCGTCATTAACGTCAGCTACAGTGGAGGTGCAGAAAAGGTGTCATGACTAAAGTATCCCCAAACTTTGGAAGACCGTGTGCAAGCCTTTCTTGCCACGTATTTCTTCAGAGGTTCTGGAGCTCAGCCATGTTGCCTCATGTGTGGGGTGGCAAATTTCCTTTTTGCAGGGTGGTAGGTGATGTCTCAATATTTATGAGGGAAGTGCTACATGATTGGCCAGTGCATGCCTTAAAAAAATAGTGCGGCGCTACTGGCCCTGGTGACAGACAACACTATATTGGAATTCAGTCTATAATTGATATAGTTTTAACGGTGCCAGCAGTGAAACTAGCTAGCTTATTAGCGGAATAACTTTGTATTGGAAGTGAAAACCATGCCACAGGTCCAATAGATACAATATTGTAGCTCTCGAGTGGCGAAGAGATCAGGTAGACAGTAAAGTCCAGTTATTAGCAGAGTTATTGCGCGATTCTTAAAAGGACTGCATTAACGTGCTCCGTTACAATACACTTGGCGTATGACTAAGTGCATTGCGAATAATCGTCCCAGCCCTAATCTGTACCTAAACTACTGCACCTTTCCAGAAACAGAAAATTACCAACTGTTCTCAGACAGACCACGAACTGCTGACAAACAAAACAAGCAAATCCAATTCAGAATGACTACCATAAGTCACTACAGTTCAATCACACAACCATTAAAGTTACTTACTAAATCATGTACAACTAGATCCACTACTTGAGCCCACATCTGACTACAGCTGTGGTATGAAAATCAACTACAGGGCTGCCATATCACCTGTGATTAAATAAGAGAGAATAGAAAAAGCCAGGATACATACGACTGAGGGTTGAACATGTTGGAAAGCTGGAAGCACTGCGTGGCCAGTGGCTGTGTTGGCAGGTTCAGAGCAGTGTTCACATTCAGGTTCAGGTTTATGTTCAGTGCCGGGTTGATGGCAGCTGCAAGGGATAAGGAACATTCTCCTTTTCAGTATCAAGGGGATGTCCAAGGCAGACAGGCACAGTAAGGTCCACCACCCAGCGCCAAGAGCGCATTTTAAGTAATGCATTAACTGGTTTTCAGCATCTAACTTCACAACATACTACCAAAGTTCAGGATGGCTGCAGTACCAAATCTTCATACAAGAAATTAAAGGGAGAACCATAAAGGGTGACTACAATTTCTATCCCTCAGAAAAAGCAGTTTCATGCATTAGATATTTAAATCCATTCACCTTCAGTGGGTTGAGTCAACCTTGCTTGCAAATCTAAAGATAAGAAAAAAAATTAAAGCGCACTTAGTCCAGTGGAAGACTTGGATGGGATGGAACTGAAGATGGCATGACAGCATACAATGAATGAGACTGTCCATCAATTAAACATGCATGGCTGAAATGAAGGCTCTGCTCCAGTACTTCAACAAGGGGGGGGCGGGGCCACATGAAAGCAAATACTTGGCATGGGGGGCAGATTCAATACGTCTCCATTGCTACTTCTGCCAGGATGGTAATTCTAATCTCCAGAATGGGCCTTCTACTCGGAGCCCAAATTTAGTTACGGACCATCTGCGACCATAGTGAACAAGAACACTACGGGTGTTTGCCATCAGGGATTTAGTCCAGTGAAAATGCAACATGCATGATAAGCATTTACCAGATACAGACGCCATGGCACCAAATGGAATAGAGCCACTCATCTGCAGGGCCTGCTGGGCAGCTGGAGGAATCTGTAAGCCTGTACCTGAGACACCAGAACAGATCCCACAGAAATTTCATAATTATCAAATGCTATATTGATGCAAAAGGGAATGATCACACTAGAACCATTTACAATGACGCATCTACCGTAAAGCAACATGCAACTGCTACAGACTATACTTGACGTTTACCTTCAGCTAGTCTGGCCATCAGTTGCAGGCGCCCAGTGGTTCCCAGGTCAATACCAGTCCTCTCAAGCTCATCGCTGTCCAGGAAGGAGCTGGCAGTTGACGCATCAGTACGTTCAGTCACATGACCCACTTTCATTGGTCGGCCAGCCAACTCGAAGCCATTCAACTGTTCTAAAGCCTTTTTAGCACATTCAGCATCTGCAAACTGTACAGAATAGAAACAGCTTAGAACCTCTGATGCCACAAAGAGCCTCAAAGCAGCACAGCAATTCCACTCACAGTGATAAATCCATATCCCTTGGATCTTCCAGTTTCACTGTCCATCATCAGCTGGATGCTCTCGATCTGGTGAAATGAAGACCAGCATTAGAAACGCACCAACATGAGCTTTAACATGAGGTGAGCCACTATTTCCTTTAGCAAAGAGTTGCGTACCCGACCAAAAGGCTCGAAGATCCCCCGCAGCATGTCTTCTGTGATATTGAAATGCAAGGAGCCCACATAAAGCCTCATGGGCCCGGCGTTACCCTTCTGCAGGTTGTTGGACATCGCAGCAGCCCGGTTCTTCTCAGCCTTTTGGGTTTAATTGTGGAAAGAAAGTCACAGAGAGAAAGCTCATCTTGCAGTCAGCATCCCCCCGCTTTTCCTGAAATGGATCAAACGGGGACAGGTCTTACCTGTGATGCCTGCACGATGATAGGCACCCCCAGGAGCTTCTGGCCAGTCAGACCAATCGCCAGAGGTACAGAATTAGCTTCAACAAATTCAATATAAGCAATCCCCTTTGATCTTCTGGAGTTGCGGTCAGAAATCATCCTCACATCTCTCACCTATAAGAGAAATAAGCAATTGTCTAGACATACGAGGGGTCAAGAAGCAATACAGCCATACATTTAATATTACATTTAATTATCACAAGCCAACTGCATTGTTAAAATAGTATGACTCTTGTAGGACTACTTTCTCTATGCAAGGCTAACAAAACAAAATAAAATAAAAAAAAAAATAAAACACACCCCACAGAAATAAATCTGCCCAAATCTATGGCAGGAGAAACCAAACCTTGGAACAGAAATATGTTATCCCAAGTAATTGGTATCCATTTCTGATTGGTATTAAACCCATGCAGGTATTAGCCCTGCATGTTTTGTAAGTTTCGGTTTTTTAGTCATGGGATTAACTCACTTTCCTAAATGTAGGGCCATTTTCTCTACCATTAATGGCCGGATCTGTCACACATCAGAATACTTATTCACTTCAACTAATACCACGATAGCAGTCGTAACATTTCTACAAGGATAAAAGCATTCCTCACACTTTACCATATACCACAAACATAGCCAAGAAATTTAAGTGAAACTGCTAATAGCTACGCATGCAGTGACACAAAGTAATGCAAAGCATTTTGACTTATGACAGCATTATATGCCTAATGTTCGCTGATAAATTAATGTTTGTGTGACTGACTTTCCCAACAGCAGAGAAGAACTCCTCCAGGTCACGAGGTCTAATCCGTGCAGCCAGCTGCATGCAGAAAACTGTGCGCGCATCCCTCTCTTCTGGGGTGAGGTTGTCAATTGGCTCCCTTTAAGATAAGATGAGAAACACAAAGCAATGAGGCTAAACCAGCTGCAAGTTAGCAGTAGCTGCTCTATTGCCAACTCAGAATTGTGGGATAATGACTATGGGTATTGATGCAAAGCACTCACCGTATTGGACTCTTATCTTTCCTGAAGGGGCTTCTGCTCCTGGAACGTCTCCGGCTGCGAAAAGCCAGCACCTATGTTATGTGGAGCGTCACACTGACGCACGTCACACGCCCAAACAAGCAGCTAACCACACGAATGTCAGAAAGATGGCATAATAAAAACCTTAGTTTGATGGCAGGTGGTGGGCCGATCTTCCCCCTGGCACCACCGTTAAATTTTGGCCCCGAACTGCAATTAAAAACAAGGTTCATCTCAGTACCAACAGCTAGAATTCATCTACTAAAGGGCAGCGTGACCAAGAATCACAAGCTCTTGTCTGTCACATGAGTCCAAGCTGTAAGCTTTTCCAAACTGCTCATTTCAGTCGCTCAGACAAAACGTTAACCCAAAGAAGCTTCCATGGAAAAAACATATGCATTACAATGCTTAAGCGAACTGCAACAGGACCCTCTGTTTTGATCTGACAACGTTCATGTCAGAAGGTCAGATTCTTAATGAATAATCACCATTTCCCACCTCTGTAAACCCATTTATACTTTGAAGTATCCAGCTTGCACATGGGAGGATAAAGACAGAAGCTGGTTTATCATTCTGCTGACAACTTTAGGCAGCAAGTAAGGGAAAAACACATAGGTGGTCCTAAACCCATATTTCTCATAGTTCTCAGACAGTCGCGGCAGCCATCACAAGTTGGACAGTAACACAGGATGGAAAGTAATGTGACGAGAGTGCAACACATACAAGGGGCTCCTGCGGGCTCTGTATCGGCCGCCGCGCTCCCGGCTCCGAGAGCGACTACGCCGTCTTTCACGGCTGCGGCTGCGCTTTCGCTCGCGACTTCGGCTGCGCTTCTGCTCTTTGTTTTTTTTATGATCGCGACTCTTGCTTCTCCGTTTGTCGCGGCTTCGACTGCGACTCCTACTCCGCTTTTTCCTGTGGAAGACAACATCACCGTGACAGAAGCCGGAGACACACTCCATAGGCAGCTTACACTGCAGCTCACAATAGACTTACTTCTTACTACGCTCTTCATGGCCGTTGGCACTACTGGACTTGATCTCATCCTAAGCAGGGTCGATAGAAGAACATCATGAGGACGAAGAGGTAACATTTCAAGTCGTCAGGGTAAAGGGGGAATGGGAAGAGAAAATACAAAAACAATCATTTAAAAATATTCAAACAAGGCTATAAACTTGGACAAACTTCTAAAGTTGGGTCCTTTTTAACCACTTTGCTCATGTTTCCCCTTTTCTTCTTAATACATTTGTAACAAGTTAAATTCATCCAACAGTCAAGATCTAACAGTGGTTAAACAGAATCTGGTATGCTACCAAAGAAAGCCATGTTTAGTCAGTATTTGGTCAGCAACCCCTTCTGATCAGTACCAAGGCTATCTTTGCCTAAGACCAATGTGGCCATGCTAGCCGACAGCCACTAATCGAGTTCCTGTGGTGGATGCCATTCCAGTGATCTTCACCCATTTTCGTTCGTGGACTGTAAGAGCTCGATGCCACCTCTGTCACACATCTCGCCCTGAAGCAAACAGGGATTCACACTGCTTAGTAATGTCGACTCCCAAGAAATTAAAAAGAAAAAAATAAATCCACCAGCAAACCTCATGAAACTCCCTAGCTGGTATCCAGCAGCATGGAGATGACCCATGTTTGCCACTTTAAAACGGGAAATTTAGACCCCCTTGTGAAGGATTTACATAATACAGCGTTTGCCAACCCGGTCCTTGAGGACCTGCACAGTCCATGTTTACGCTCCCCCCAGCTCCTGGTAAAGCAATGGCTCTCAATCCTGTTCCTGGCACCAACTACCCCCCCCCTCCCACCAGAATGTTGTCTTTCTAATCCACACAGCTTTCAATCTGCCGCATTCATTATCAACCTATTAAGGACCATATGAGCCCAATTAAGACAGGATTTGAATTAAAACATTATGATGGGGGGGGGGGAGACCAGGAACAGGACTGAAGACTGCGGTACACCAAAAATGAGAACTGTCTGGCAAAGAGCTGGGAGGGAGCAAAAATGTGGACTGTTCACAGGTCCCCGAGAACTGGGTTAGGAAACACTGACATGATGGACGAGAAATGTGAATGATATTTCCAATACCCAAAACCATATATATATATATATGTATATATATATCTTTTTAAAAAAGCACTAACTTGTGGGTGAGAAAAAAAAACTGCTAAAAATGCATGCAAAAAACTAAGATGCTGATTTACCTTATGTTCAAAACTATTTAAAACCATCACTGGAGGACGGATCAAGGACAGAGAGAGACAGTATTCACATTTTAAAATTCTTGGGGGCCCTGGTCACTTCTGACAGACGGCATGACCAAATGTACCGCTTACTACACTCACTAATTTCAAGTACAATGCACAACAATATGAAACAAAGATGCACTCTGGCAACTCAAAACTGCAAAACTAATTGCATGCATACAAATAATGTAGTCGTATATTGTTGGGACCACCATACCCAATGGAATTGTGCAACTGTAATTGTGCAAAAAAAAAGTTTACCAACACACTTGGAAGGCTAGAGAGCAGGGTAAGATCTACTATGTAAAAATTTGAATATGCCTGTCATCTTCTGTATTCACCTTACTGCAACCAAACAGGTGCTTGGACGTTCAAAGACGAGTTTTTTTTTTTTTTTTTACCTAGGGGACCACAGTACATCAATACATTGCGCAATTACTACCTTACTTTGAAAGTTCACACTGGAATTCATGGGAGTAGAGGTGAGATATCGTTAGGCAAGTCTACAAAAAGAGATAGACGGGCATTTATTCATAACTCTGAATTGAAACTACTGCATCACATAACAACAACAAGTTTTCCACAAATAAAGGGTCTGGGGAAAGTAGCTTGTAATAGACCAGCAGATTCAGCTCTGCCAAAATCAAATCCACTCACCTTTTTATAAGGCGCTTCAAGCATAGCTTCGATATCAAAATCGTCTGCCATGTTGGAGTCACCCTAGGACAAAGAAAATTGAATAATCAGCTTCAAAAGAATCCAAAACTTATGGTCATTTAGTTAATGGACTCTGCCACAAGAACTTCCTCATTTGTAAAGCATTACAAGACATCAATGCAGGCAGGGAAAGTCATCTTAACTTCCAAAAAGCCAGCTAGTAAGAGGCTTAAATCTGGGTGATATTGCAATGTGACTCAGTAGTAATCACCAGCATAAGCAAAACTTTATGCCAAGTTTTAGCCCTTCTTTTTGTAGGCATTATATTGAAAATAAACTTTTGAAGACTCAAGAAAAATGATTCAACATTTATACTGGCACAGAGTGAAATTCAAAATTGCATAAGCTGCATTATACGTCTGCATTTAAGAATGTAGTAGTACTACCAAAGTAGTTGAAGTTCATTTTGACTTCACACTGCAGACAATAGAAATGACTACAATTAACTGTATATAAACCTCATATGGATTCTTACCATGTGTAGTTTATTATGATGACTACGCCTGTTACGAATTGGATACAGACAGTTTCCTACAAGTAAAACAAAAAAAAATGTTCAATTGAAAAATGAGCTCTTTAGATTCCACATATCTAATAATGAGGTGTGGTTCAAAGGAAGCCACCGAAAGCACACTCCAAACGATTCAGATCTGTCTATAAGTGTTGTTTATACTGATCTAGCTGGTTATTTTGCAAGTCAGTTGGTGTTTGACAGGCAAATGTGTTGTGCAGCTTCAACAGAACAGCAGACAAACCCAATAATATGTCAGCAGTGTTGCGAGATGCACATTGAACACACACAGCTCCAGCATACCAACTGTTACGCCAAAATATCAAGAGACATATCGCAAATAAATAAAAAACGCGTTCTTGCAGGACCCAGTTGAAACGACTGCAACGCTATAATCTATAAATAGAAGGAACATACCACTAGGTAGAGACCCCTTTTCATGCCATTTCACTGGGAATCTAACCAATACTCATCTCGTTCGATTAAGTCCACGAGATCAAATCCACAATTTCATTAGATTCGTAGACCACCATATGATTTAACTTACGTCTTGTAGCCACCGAATATCTCCATATTAATTACGCAATTACACAATACTACATTTCAACTACAGCTTTAGTAACTTTGTGCTATGCATAAGTCTTGATAAGACTAAATCGACCTAATAATCGGTAAACATGTTGTGAATGTGTTTTAGGCGGCTAAGATCCTGAAAAAAACAGGTACATCGGCTACTCTGCATTATGAGATATTGGGTTAGGCAAGACAACGTCCGGAAAACACAGCGACATCAGAACAGCGTACATTAGTTTAGGGACAATTCAGTACAGCAAACGAAATCTAAACTTGTTCTTTATCCTCCATTTCTTCTTATACCGCATTTAGTGGACATTAACTGTTACCTTACGATTTGCTTGCTTAATCTGAACTGCCTTCATATAAATCAAATAGCTAGCAGGATAAAAGCTGGCGACGGCAAAACTGCCCGTTTTCATTATACAGAGAATGGCTACACCGAGGCAATGTGTACACGAGTGTTTCGTAACCAAAACACATTTTTTCCATTCCAAACAACCAAATTAAATACAGCTAAAGTGTTACTAAGTATCACATGTGTAGATTTTTACCTTATATCGCCTCGGTGCAGTGGTTCTGCTTTGAAGAGGGTCCCAAACGATCGTTGTTTCCCCTTTACTTGTTAGCTAGGCCTCGTTTGACCTCCGGTCGTTATTCTTTCGCTCGCTTTGTTTACAAAATGTATAGTTCACGAAACAGTTACAGAACCAACACGATTCCTACCACTGATATCGGCTCTACTGGCTCGTTTATTCGAATTACGCACTAGATGATAATAATGTATATAATGACGCTCACTAAGAGCTCCCTTTAAATGAAACGACGACTGGACGCTCCTACGGGTCCCTCAAAATGGCGCCCGTAACTAACCTACACGGGGTCTCCTTATCCGAACTGCAAGGACTTATTGGGCTGTCCGCCAACCGAAATATCACGAGACTACAAATGGTCGCGTGCAGCCAACACTATTCGCGACCAAATTTGCGCTTTTAACGTACAGTATCTACATTTACTACTAATGAGTTAAGATGGGAAACTTAGCTTGTTCCAAAGGGAAATCTATGATAACTGAACCGTTCTGGTTCTTGCCCATTAAATAGTCAGCCATGACTTGGCGGGTTGAACAATGTCACAAAGGCTGCAGGGCATTAATATATTATGCACAGCTCCTAGGGTTAGCATTTATATTAACACAGTCGATGTATGATTAAATAACACATTTCCTTAATGATTTATTTGAGTTTATAATTTAATGTTTCAAAATTGTTCTACACCCATAAAACGTTATGCACAACCAAATTTCAACATTTGAGAAACCATTTTAAATATAAAACTTAAAAGGTATAACTTGCAGCACTTTGAGTTCCATTTTTACTTTGAACATCAACATTGTTATATTCAAGAGTAGCCCATCTGACATGAACTGTCATAAAATACAGACACATTGAAATATAAATTTAAAAATGAACAAATTCATGACAAAATGAATGCCTCATGAAGTGTTAACCAAATATACCAAAATATATTTGGAAATAAGCTTCTAATTATGCATGCTTCATAATGGTATGTTAACAGACATATGGAGAATTGTCATAATAAATGGACTTACTCATACCTATAAAAGCTCTGTGGTCAGTCTTGCTTGAACTACTCTTCTTGGCCAGATTTATCCAATTCAAGGATTAGACATTGCTGATTTCCCCACTGCATAGTACTTATGCAAATGTATGCATTACAGCTGGGGAACACACTGGCTAGGATGCCAATGCATCACAGAGTACACACTCACTCACTCACTCACACATTATGAATTATTTTAGAGATAAAATCTAACTACATTCAAGTGAAATCTGAGGCACCTATAGAAAAACCACACAAGTGGAAACATGCAAACTGCACGGATAGAGCAGTACTAGGATACAAAACCTCAACCCAGGAGGTGTGAGACAACAATGCAACCCACTAAGTCATTGTGTTGCCCAGTAATAATCTGTAAAATGTAACTGAAAAATATGTGCGCTTCAGAAGATGAGGATCCCATGATCTGTGGCATTTCACTTGGAATTCAGTGGATGAACTACAGCTACTACTTAAATCAGTGGTGGGCAATGTTATCCAGAAAGGGCCGCTGTGTATGCAGGTTTTCGCTGCCACTCCCTCATTAGATTACTAATTAGAGGACTGATTGACTGCAGAGTACTTACTGACCTAAAGGTTATCCCAAAAACCTGTGTACACACTGGTCTATTCTGGATGACATTGCCCACCCTTGTGTTGAAGCAAAGGAGATCTGATTTGTTATGCTGGGGCTGGGCCTTTGCTTCACTGTTACATGGCAAAAAATCTGTAATCCCCACTCCCATATGAACCTGCTAATAATAATAACAATAATAATAATATTTAATAGGGCTCTGTGCCTATTATTGGAAAGTTGCCAGTTCAAATCCCCTGGTTGCCCAAATGACTTCACTGTTGCACAATTAAGCAAGGTCCTTAACCCCAATTACTTCAGGAACTGGCTAACCCTGTTTTCTCAATTAAATGTTACTTTGAATAGAAGTTTCTGCTAAATAAAAATGGTAAATGGTAAATGGACTGCATTTATATAGCGCTTTTCTACTCCTGCGAGTACTCAAAGCCCTTTACAATACATGCCTCACATTCACCCATGCATACCACACATTCATACACCGGTGTAAATAAGTAAATAAAAAAGTAAGTCAGTAAATAAAATTTTTTTGTTGCTGTTGTTGTTGTTGACAATGTTAATCAGATTACAGTTTTTCAAGCTTGTCTCCATGTCCACTCAAAACTTTTCACACTGTAAGCTGTACAGTTAACTTTTTGTACAAAATGCACTTCAACTACCAAAACACTTCATACTTCACCTAAAAGTGATTAATGCTGTCATAACTATAGCATAAACTCTCTCTTATAAGATTACGCTGTCACTTATTGTACAACCCCAAATCAGAAAAAGCTGAGATGGCATGGAAAATGCAAATTAACAAATAAATAAATAAATACAAAGAAAAATGCAGTAATTCTGAAATGAACTTTGACTTTTGTTTCAGTGCAGACGGTATGAACTCGATATTTCATTTCGTATTTCATAATATACATCACCTCTCCTGGAGCCGACACCTTATCGTGGTGGAGGGGTTTGCGTGTTCCAGTGATCCCAGGAGCTAAGTTGCCCAGGGCTTTATGCCCCTGGTAGGGTCACCCAAGGCAAACAGGTCCTGGATGAGGAACCAAAGTGCGGCTCACAAGACCCCTTATGATGAGAAAAACAATAGATCCATGATTTCCCTTGCCCGGACGCGGGTTACTGGGGCCCCCCGCTGGAGCCAGGCCTGGGGGTGGGGTTCGATGGCGAGCACCTGGTGGCCAGGCCTGCATCCATGGGGCCTGGTCGGGCACAGCCTGAAGAAGGCACGTGGGCCCCCTCTCCAATGGGCTCACCACCCATAGGAGGGGCCATAGGGGTCGGGTGCAGTGTGAGTTGGGCGGTGGCCAAAGGCGGGGACCTTGGCGGTCCGATCCTTGGCTGCAGAAGCTGGCTCTAGGGACATGGAATGTCACCTCTCTGATGGGGAAAGAGCCTGAGTTGGTGTGCGAGGCTGTGAGGTTCCGACTAGATATAGTCGGGCTCACCTCGACGCACAGCTTGGGCTCTGGAACCAGTCTCCTTGAGGGGGGTTGGACCCTCTTTCACTCTGTAGTTGGTCGTGGGGAGAGGCGCCGGGCAGGGGTGGGCATACTTATTGCTCCCTGGCTGGGTGCCTGTACATTGGGGTTTACCGGAGTGGACTAGAGGGTAGCCTCCCTTCGCCTTTGGGTGGGGGGATGGGTCCTGACTGTTTGTGCTTATGCGCCAGACGGCAGTTCAGAATACCCCCCCTTTTTGGAGTCCATGGAAGGGGTGTTGAAGAGCACTCCTCCTGGGGACTCTCTTGTTCTGCTGGGGGACTTCAATGCTCATGTGGGCAAAGGCAGTGAGACCTGGAGTGACATGATTGGGAGGAACGCCCCCCCCGATCTGAACCCGAGCGGTGTTTTGTTATTGGACTTCTGTGCTCGTCATGGATCGTCCATAATGAACACCATGTTCAAGCATAAGGGTGTCCATATGTGCACTTGGCACCAGGACACCCTAGGCCGCAGTTCGATGATCGACTTTGTAGTCGTGTCATCGGACTTGCGGCCACATGTCTTGGACACTCGGGTGAAGAGAGGGGCAGAGCTGTCAACTGATCACTACCTGGTGGTGGGTTGGCTCCGCTGGTGGGGGAGGAAGCCGGCCAGGCCTGGCAGGCCCAAGCGTATAGTGAGGGTCTGCTGGGAACGTCTGGCGAAATCCCCTGTCAGGAGGAGCTTCAACTCCTACCTCCGGCAGAACTTCTCCCATGTCCCGGGGGAGGCGGGGGACATTGAGTCCGAATGGGCCATGTTCCGCGTCTCCATTGTGGAGGCGGCTGACCGGAACTGTGGCTGTAAGGTGGTCAGTGCCTGTCGTGGCAGCAGTCCCCGCTGGTGGACACCGGTGGTGAGGGATGCCGTCAAGCTGAAGAAAGAGTCCTATTGGGCCTTTTTGGCCTGTGGGATTCCAGAGGCAGCTGACAGGTACTGGTGGGCCAAGTGGAATGCAGCTTCGACAGTCGCAGAGGCAAAAACTCGGGTGTGGGAGGAGTTTGGCAAGGCCATGGAAAACGACTTCCGGACGGCTTTGAGGAGATTCTGGTCCACCATCCGGCGGCTCAGGGCAGGAAAGCGGTGCAGCATCAACACTGTTTATGGTGGGGATGGGGCGCTGCTGACCTCAACTCGGGACGTTTTGGGTCAGTGGAGGGTATATCTCGAAGACCTCCTCAATCCCACCGACATGCCTTCCAACGAGGAAACAGAGTCTGGGGACTTGGGGGTGGACTCCCCTATCTCTGGGGTGGAGGTCGCTGAGGTGGTTAAAAAGCTCCTCAATGGCCGGGCCCCGAGGGTGGATGAGATCCGCTCAGAGTTCCTTAAGGCTCTGGATGCTGTGGGGCTGTCCTATTTGAGACGCATCTGCAGCATCGCATGGATATCGGGGGCAGTGCCTCTGGACTGGCAAATCGGGGTGGTGGTCCCCCTCTTTAAGAAGGGGGACCGGAGGGAGTGCTCCAACTATTGGGGGATCACACTCCTCAGCCTCCCTGGTAAGGTCTATTCGGGGGATCTGGAGAGGAGGGTCCGTCGGATTGTCGAACCTCGGATTCAGGAGGAGCCCTGTGGTTTTCGCCCTGGCTGTGGAACAGTGGACCAGCTCTATACTCTCCGCAGAGTTTTGGAGGGTTCATGGAAGTTTGCCCAACCAGTCTACATGTGCTTTGTGGACTTGGAGAAGGCATTCGACCATGTTCCTCGAGGAGTCCTGTGGGGAGTGCTCCAGGGGTATGGGGTGCCGGGCTTCCTTATAAGGGCTGTTTGGTCCCTGTATGACCTGTCAGAGCTTGGTCTGCATGGGCGGCAATAAGTGGGATTCGTTTCCGGTGAGGGTTGGACTCCGTCAGGGCTGCCCTTTGTCACCGATTCTGTTCATAGCTTTTATGGACAGAATTTCTAGGTGCAGCCAGGACGTTGAGGGTGTCCGATTTGGTGACTTCAGGATTAGGTCTCTGCTTTTTGCAGATGATATGGTTCTGTTGGCTTCATCGGACCGTGACCTTCGGCTCTCACTGGGATAGTTCGCAGCTGAGTGTGAAGCGGCTGGGATGAGAATCAGCACCTCCAAATCCGAGACCATGGTCCTCAGCTGGAAAAGGGTGGAGTGCTCTCTCCGGGTCGGGGAGAGTTTAAGTCCAAATGGAGGAGTTTAAGTATCTCGGGGTCTTG